ACAAAGAATCAAGGATGATCTTGGGCTTCAACTCCACTTTTCAAACCACTTCATAGCCCTCAAAAATTTGTCTGCTGCAAGCTTAAATATATTCAACAATTCAACATCCAGAACTCTATCAAATCAAAATCAATGAATTGGTATCTATTACTCAACATCTTAATCTATTTGCCACAAGATTGGTGTATTTTTAAAAGGCTCATAAATGAAACCAGCTCCATTGCTTCTTTAAACAGTTCGATGTGCAAAACTTAAAAAATATTCACTTCTTCCAACTCAGTGTTTAGAACAGTCAGCCATATGAACAATATACTTGGAACCACTGGAATGAAACTGTACATTGCATTTTGAGTATGTTTTGCATTTTTTAAACCAGAGGAACATGGACTGAAAAGTATTCTTATATTAATTCTTAACTACCTTTTACAAATTCAAACATCTTTAGGATACAATTCTTATTAAAAGATATTTGGGCATTTGTAAGTTAATAAAAAGATGACAGAGTACGTTAAAAACTGTAGAGATTAAGAAATTTGAAGACAATCACAAAGCACTGATCATCAGGATTAACAAACAAGTTCTCTTATTCAAAGACTACACTGCAGCCATGCATTAAGATGATTATTACAATAACAATGCATAGACAGCCAGCATCCAGCTCCTACTCCCATCTTACATTCACAAATGCAGCAATTTGTCTTTGCTCCCATATTTTGCTTTATTGCCTCAAAATGTAACAGAAGTGTTAAGTTATTTGGAGTTTGAACTATTACTTCCCTGCACTCCTTTCCCATAAATCAAAAACCTTATGCACATCTTTAATAACTGCAGTGAAAACGAAATCTGAACTGTTAACTTGGAATCTTGAGAAGTTGTTATTTGCATACATGTAAGGATCGATATACAATCAGAATCCCTACAGTGCAGAAAGAGGCCGCTCGGCCCACTGAGGATAGTGGTGTAATGTTGTTTCTCAGACTGGAGGCCTGTGACCAGCGGTTTTCAACAGGAATCAGTACTTGGTCTACATTTGTTTGTCATTTATAAAAACAACTTGGATGAGAATATAGGAGGCATGGTTAGTAAGTTTGCAGATGACACCAAAAGTGGTGTCGTCATGGACAGTGAAGGTGGTTATCTAAGATCAATTGGGTCAGAGGGCTGAGGAGCAGCAGATTGAGTTTATTTTAGATAAATGAGAGATATTGCATTTTAGTAAAACAAGAGCGCGACTTATGCAATTAATGGTAGGGCCCAGGTAGTACTGTAGGACAGAGGGACCTAGAGGTGCAGGCACATAATTCTTTGAAGTTTGTGTCACATAAAGACAAGAGTGGTTATAAAGGCATTTGACACTCTTGCCTTCATTGTTCAGACCTTTGAGTACAAGAGTTGGGACGTCATGTTTGGGTTGTACAGGACATTGGTGAGGCCTCTTTGGGAGTACTGTATAGAGTTCTAGTCACTCTCCTATTAGAGAAAGATGATTAAATCGGAGAGGGTTCAAAAAAGGTTTACCACGTTGTTGCTGGGTTAGGAGGGTTGGAGTTATAGACTGGATAGGCTGGGACTTTTTCCATTGAGCATAGGAGGTTGAGGGCTGACCTTATAGAGGCTTATAAAATCATGAGGGGCATATACAAGGCAAATGACAAGGGTCTTTTCCCTAGGGTAGGAGATTTCAAGACCAGGAGGTTTTTTTTTTTTAATTAAGGTGAAAGGAGAAAATTTTAAAAAAGACATGGCAGGCAACATTTTTCTTTTACAGAGTGATTCGTGTGTGGAATGAACTGCCAGAAGTAGTGGTGGATGCAGGTACAGATACAACACTGAAAAGGCATTTTGATAAATACATGAATGGAAAAGGTTTCGAGAGATATGGGCCAAATGCCAGTAAGTGGGACTAGTTAATTTTGGGAACATGGTTGACATGGACTAGTTGAACCAAAGGGTCTGTTTCCATGCTGTACAACTCAACGTCTATGTCTGCACCAATCCGCCAAAGAGCATCCCACTCAAACCCAGACCCCTACCATATGTCTGAAAACCTGCCTGCACATCCCTTCGCACTGCTGACAATTTAGCATGGCCAATCCACCTAACTTGCACACTTTTGGACTGTGGGAGGAAACCCACACAGACACCAGGAGAACGTGCGAACTCCACACAGCCAGTCACCCAAGGCTGGAATCAAACCCAGATCCTGGTGGTGCAACAGCCTTGTCAATCACTGTGCTGCCTCAAATACTGCACACATGGATCAAGTGTCCTCTAATCGTTAAGACAGAGGCCAAAATCAGTATTACAGTAAGGAGCAAAGTCCCAAACTAAAGCAGTTACAAAAGTAAGAGAGAACATTATTAATCCTTCCAGTGGCCACCTTCAACATATAAACCATTGACTTTCCTTCCACAAAGTCACAGTTCTTCATGTGTGTGGACTTGGCCCTTGTCTTTCAAGCTAAAGAACTCCAGAATAATGGAGAAAACATTCACTGAAGACCTAAATTCACTGGAAGCTGCTTAGGAACATGAAACCTTCAACCAAATACTGCTCAGATTGTTGTTTCAATCTTCCACTTGAACAACTCTACTTCTGTGGCCAACGACTATTCCATGACCCGATTCTAAAATTCTTGACAGTATATTGACCTATCTGCATTACCTCCACAACACTGAATCAAAGTCAAAACAAGGGCTAAGCTCAAACAGAAATTGGCAGGTACCACCTTGAGCAGCAGAGTCATCGTCATGCACTGCTTCAGTGCATCAAGCTGACTCAACCTGGCTGAGGAACTGCCATCCAAATGCAGTTGGTATCCATCTCTGAGAAGACAATTCTTTCTGAAACTTCAAGAGTAAAGTTGAGTGGCTTACTGTGCTAGCAAACACTGAAACTTATGACATCGTCCCTGTAGGCATCTTCCTCAAAAACACAAGATGACAGTGATGCAAAGTCCACCTATTGGTAAAAGGACCTCAAAAAAAAAAAAAATCCGCGTACTTATCAAATATACCATAGGCCCACCAGAGCACACTTGACACCTGGCAAGCCAAAAAAAAATCCCATCTCGTAACGAAGCACATCATGGCTGACTGGAAGGATTACCAACTGCAACAATGATCCAGGTTTAAACCTTCAGATTGTGCAGATTCAATCTTCAGCCACTTAAAGCTGGGCCAAGCAAGGAACAAGTGACCACTTGCACAAATAGAACACCACAAACCGCTCAAGTTGAAACTGTTAACCGACGACTGACTAATTTCAATTTCAATTAATTGAAACAGATTAATTTCAATCAGCACTCATACTGACCCAGCTGAAACAGTATGCTCTGGAAAGTGCAGTGTTTGCCTGGAACTGGAAAACAAGTATTTAATCCTAATCTGTATACAGACCAATTTGTAATAATTTTAAAGACACAAACTGACCCATGGTGCCCTTGGCCAGAGAAATAACTATGGGCACTAGACTATGTCAAAGGAGTTGGAAAAGTCACAGAAGTCTAGGTAGAATAAAAGAATTTTTTAAAAAAAGGACCTTAAATTGTATTTAAAAAAGGAGGGGGGAGGTGGGGGAAGGGCTTAAAGAAGATGGTCAAGACAACTGAAACCCACAATTTGTGACAATGAAGGGTATTGCAGACAGAAGCAAATTTTAAAGGCAGGTTGATGAAGAGGGAAATAAAACTGAAGATAAAAATTGACCACCTAAATAGAATCCATGTTGGGTATTGCAGCGGTAGAGAGGAGCTGTGAATTCAGGGGAGTTTCACCCTTGACAAGTTGAGAATTTACAGAAGAGGATGGTAGCATGATGACAGTGTGGCATTATGCCATGAAGTTCGAACTGCATCTTGAAAAATTACAGAACAGAACTCAATAAATCTTGCAGTTTATGGCCTATTGCTACAAAATAGCTTACAAAGGTTGCTCAGTTGTATTAAAAATCGACTACTTCACTAATATCTTTCAAGGAAATGAATTTACAACACCTCTTCGGTCAGGGTTACACACAAACTAAGTGAGACTATAACATTTGGATTGTCCTGAAGAAAACTGCGTTCAATCTCTCCCTGGATTACAAGTGAACACTCAGACTTAAAATTAATACAAATCAGCTGACAAGTCCAACGGCAAAGCCAAACACAATCCAATTCCTTTAGATACAAAGCTTTATCAACTTTCCTAAATAACTATGTTACTCTTTCATCATAAACCGATTTGCATGATGCGGACACTGGCTATTCAGAGACTGCTGCTCACAATGTCATCTTTAGTTTGACCAGAACAGTTTGTGTCATGCGATAGAGGGAAACGAAGGTTTAATCATTTAACTTTACGAGTAACATTCACCTGAATCCCGATTGTACCTGTCCCAACCTGTTTGCCTCCTTGCTTGCCGGCCAACCAACCGGCCCGTCGCCCAAGAGCTGCCACTCGGTTTCGCCCGCCTCACAGCCGCGTCTTTTGCGTAATTATGTGTAATGGAAAGGCGGAGGGCGAGTTGACAGCAATACCTACGGGCCATAAACAGAGATACGCCGCCAAAACCAGGCCTTCTCGCCTCTAGCGCTCAACTTCCTCGCCGCAACCTAACACTATCAACTGTGCCGATTGGCCAGAGGCCAGGCACGCAACCACTGAACACCAGCGTCTGTGATTGGCCAGTCTCCGAAAGCCAGCCCCCCCGGCCTGCAGTGCAGACCTGATTGGTTCCAGGTAGAACACAGAATTCGGGGGCAGAGTGAGCCAAATGTCTCGGGAAAGATCCTTCGTGCTTCAAGTCAGCAATTAAAAAAAAAGGTCATGATGCAACACAAATCACAATAACAAACCGATGGCCATCGGAAAACAATGTAAAATTACTAAAATCCCAAATCCCACAAGTTCATGTATTTAATGTTCAATCAACACAAATATTACATGAGAGATACAACTATTTGCGTTTACTATATTACCGTATAAATTACACTGGTCACATTCGATACCAATACTTACACTGCAGTCGTTTTATCCGTAGCATCCGAACGCCAGAATTTTTTTTCAGACGACGAAACTATTTGGCAATCGAAAGATGCATTAAGCGGACTGGCCGTTCAGCACCTCGTTCAAGTCCCTGTAAGTATTTGTTGCGTTTATCCGCTATAATTGATCGACTCCCCAAATCTAAAACAATGTAAGAGAAAGTAGAGGGTCTAGGCCGAAACGTCAGCTTTCCTGCTCCTCGGCCTGCTGTGTTCATCCAGCTCTACACCTTGTTATCTTGTATACAGAAAGTAGATTTTGTTTTAGAATTCGAGTGTTCAGACATGGGGGAAGATGGAATTGAACACGGACCTTTTGGCCCAGCGCTGGGGACACTACTGCGCCACAAAATCCTTTGAAGAAAAAAAATACTTTTAAAAATGGGAAACTTCTTCATCGTTTCTAATAAGGCTTGAGAATTATTCTTGACTAGAAACCCAAACGATTCAACTTTTAACGACTAAGTATCTTAGTTTTAATCTAGATTAAATTGTTAAATTATGAAGTCTGATTAAATCGAAATGGATTGTACTCCATGGAGTTCAAAGGTTAACAGTGATCGAGGGGTTTAAAATGAAGTGTTTCCAAGTAGATACAGAAAGAAACTATTTCCTTTGATTGGAAAATGCAAAACAAAAGGGCACAGTCAGGAGTGAAACTGGGAAACACTTTCACACAAAGGACAGTAGAAATCTAGAATTATTTCCCTCAAAAGGCTGATGACACTAAACTGGATGGGAACACAAGTTGTGACGAGGGTTCAAGGAGTGTTAGCAGGTCGAGTGAATGGACTAGACCACGGCAGATGGAATATAATGCATCATGTGTAAAAGTGTGTACTTCGATAGAAAAACAGAAAAAAGAGCATGGTTGGAAAGATATTCTGCCCGCTGGACGTTTTTTTAGATCAGAGCCTAAATGTGGTTACCTTGAAAGAAAAAAGTCTGCGCTATTGATTTGTCTACATAAACACAAACTGACCCCTCAGTCTATTAGAGAGGGATTGCGGCATTCTAGGAGATATTAAACCAAGATACTGTCTGTTTAGTTAAGAATACGTAAAATACTGACTGACGTTATTTAAAGAGTAGGTAGGTAAATTGGGTTACATAGTTCCTTCCTCGTCTATCTCAAAGATCTGCTTAACACGAATTTTTGGGCGGGGCCGTAGCCATTTGACTCATTGCAATTTTACTGTGACAAATACCCAGGAGCAGGTGGTGGTTCCAGGAAGCAGTGATAATAAAATCAATTTTAAAGAAAAATTACCCATATGTAATATATGAGCATCATTAACAAAGTGTTGTGTTCAAAGTGTGATAACAAAAATCACCCTCGGGACATACGGGCAACATGGGGGCAAGTCTGAATCTTACAACACTAAAACTGGCCATTTGGCCCATCGTGCCAGTCAGGATGTATCTATCCAGACCAAGGGAATTTTCTACTTGTTACCCTTTTAGGTACTTCAGCTTTAACCCACTTTTGCCAATCTAATTCATCAACTACTTTTTTTGTTGTGATATTGGAAGCATCCCTTTTTTTTGTTAACTCTTTTGGCAGATTCTTGTATCTAAATTTATTTATTTGTATTGTTTTTAGGACTATTAGTTTCCATTTCCCCCTTCTTTTAGCAAAGTCTCTGTTTGGATTTCTTTTGCAAAAATATACTTTATTGTGATATTATCTATAATTACATTACAAAATAGTTCAACAGGTACTCCAGAAAATACAATAAAAATTGTCAGATTACTCATCCAAGCATTACACTTTTAGCTGCCTCCATCCAAATGCAAAATTGGAACATTTACTAAACATGACAAGCTACAAAGGGCTTAAGTTAACAGACTCTCAGGATATCATGGCAGAAAGAGCTTAGAGAATTGCCTTTCCACACTGTGGAAACTGTCCCAAGTTTTAGTGCGACCCTTCGCATGTCATCCTGGACTTCGGAATGTGTCAATCTGCAACACCCAGTTGAGGATAACTCTTTGCATAAGATGATCAAGAGAATTCGGGGAGACCAGATGCCAGCTTTCATCAAGTTGATGGTCCTTCGTACGTGGTTGATGTTTCTCTTGGTGTGTCTCAGGAACAGTCCCAGAATCAAACTCAACAAGAACCCATGCATCTCTTCCCAAATCTTTGCAAACGACACATTCCAGAAAGGGGTGTGCGATAGTCTTTTCACCATCATAGGTATTTCGAGGGCAGCAGATGGTGCAGGCATGCATAAAAGATCTGAAGGGTAGTGCCCTTCTTACCAACAGCTCTTGGAGCTCTTTCGAAAGTTCTGGTGATGAGGCATTCTAACAAATGACTTTGAAAGTCTGCTCAGGGAATCATCCAAAAGGATTGATCTTCCCTTATTCCTTCAGGACCTCAATGATATTTCATACTGACCACTGCTTGATGGAATTGTGGTAGAAAGCACTTTCCTGTTCAAAATTTTCCACAATGGACAGGCAATATGGTACGGTCCACCACCTGGTACCTGGGGTTAGGTAGAACCTCAATACACAGCGAAACTTGAAGTTTGACCATCAAGGATCAAAGTCATAACCCCATGTGACAACTTATACCAACAGCTCACCAATTTTACACACAAGCACTTAAACCCACCTTAATAGGTCTTACATTCTTCCATGTCTGCTGCCTGTTAACTTAGAAGTACTTTTTAATTCTAATGCAGTTTATCTCTCCCAGACCTTTTATTTCTCTGATAATTTTTTTCCTGATGATTCATTCCGGCACATCTACTGAATTTGCTTAAACCTTCCCACAGCTCTGGCTAATTTCCCCATTCAGACATTGGTCTCAGTCCTTTTGAGATATAACCAGACCATAATGTACAGTTGACTAAATAAGAGCTCTGGAGTCAAATGTATGCAACATTAAAAACAAAACAGGGAGTTAGACCTATTCAGCCTACAGGTTACAAATGAAAGAGATTAGGATAAAACCAGGTAAGACCTTGAGCTAAATAATCCAGGCCCTAGAATTTTTAGAAATGATAAGGAGAAAGTGGAAAGAGGGGTGTTAATACTGACAAAGACACAATTATAGCAGAAATAAAGGATTTCAGTAAAAATGATTAGACACTGAAAACATAATAACTTCAGCTCAGAATTCCACACATCGTTAAAGCATATAAATTAGTCAGCAATTTGTTGCCTGAAAGTGACAGCTCATTAGGAATTGTCACAAGTTGTCGTCTGATTTCAGCTTTTCTGCATCCTGAAAATGGCATTTCAACCTTAAATTAACCTCCCCATAATTTTCATTCCACCAAGTTCACCAGAAATTTACTTTCAGTAATTTAAAACACTTTGTGAAAACGTGTTCATTATTACTGACTTGCAAACAATTACTCTTGCCCAGAAAGCGAAAAATTTTAAAAAGCAAAGTCCCATGGCTTCAGGATTTATTTTGTTGAAGATTTGTTAAAGATTATTTTTTCCCGTCAGACCAATCTTTATTTTGCTTTGTTGAAAACCAGACTTAGAATATTCACTCTGTTTTGCTCTCCAAAGATGCTTTCAGACTTGCCAACTTTTTTTTCCCCCCACTTTTCTTTGTTCCATTTATTTTGTCTTTCAGAACCAGATTTGACATGGAAATTTCCCTTTCTAATTCGCACTTCTTCTTTGATTGAAAACAGTGTTAAGTTTTCCCTCCCAAAAATACATTGGTATAAAGGAATTTCTTCTCAGTACATTTAGATACAAAATAAATTTGTCACAGAAACTTAAGTTACTTCAAGTTATACGATATGACAAGCTTTATTTACTATCAACCACTACTGCCTGAAAATTAACCATCAAAACCGAGTAATTTTTAAACATTTTCTTTCTTTCTTATTTCTCTTCTCTACCTGATTTGACATCAAATTCACTCATCCTAGTTTACGCTTCCTCATTCTGACGTTGCATTGTTCATTTCACAATCCTTCAACCAGAGTGGTTAAGTATACATAACAAAAACAATGTGCTAGAGGGAACTTAGCAGGCCTGGCAGCATCTGTAGTGAGATAAACAAAAAGTTAATGTTTCAAGTCTAATGTGATTCTTCCCTCTTTAGAGATCTAGGTAGGAAATTAGTTACCAGGATCTCAAAATAGTAATCTCGATTACTCTTAGTACCATAAGCAAGTGAGTTCAGAAACAGGAGATTAAAGCTGATGCATGCATGACTGGAAAGATGCAACAGGGTGGAGGACTTTATATTTTAGGACAGTGAGTGGCTCAGAGAAAGATGCCACCTGTATAAACCAGATGATTTGCACTTGAACAGAACTGGGACTGAGTCCTTGAGGTGTGTTTTTGCTAGTGCTATTGGACTAATGTAGCAGGGATGAGAATCAAGAGATAATGTCAGAGATGGAATAGCAAGATGCACAAAACAGTGGGAGAGATAAATATTAAAATAAGGTACTGAAATTTTAATTGGGAGGATCAGAGTAAAGGAGAAAATAATAAAGTCTAAATCAGGGTGACTTTGATTAGTGAGTTACGGGCATATAGTGCCAGGTAGATATAAGGTGTTGTTGCAAAGAAAGAGAATGGGCTCAAAGCAAAGCAGGTGCAAGTGTTAAATAATCCTGGATACAGGCATTCAGGAAAGAAAAAGAATAAAAGGAGGGCGAGGGAATCAGTATTGATGAAGGGGAGCACTATCATGCTGAGGAAAATATGTCCCAGAGATTTGTACAAGGCAAAGGGCAAAAAAAGGGTTTGTATGGTCCGTCAGCCTCCATCTAGTGGAAAGAATGTAGAGGGACAGAGTTGCAAGGAAATGGTGGAGAAATGCAAAAATTATATGGTAGTTAAAGTTTCCCATTATAATTATCTGACATAATAGTAGTAGCAAAAATGGCAGTGAAAGTATTTTTTAAGAAAAGTTTCTGCAGCAGTATGTTTTCAATCCATCAACCTGGATATGAGATGGTCCATGTGGATCAAGTGTCAGTCAAAGAATATTTAGGGGACAAATTATCATTTTTATAGGGTGGTTATGGAAAAGAACAAAGAACAATCCAGAGTAAGAATATTTAACTGTGGGAAAGGCAACATCAATGGGGTAAGACAGTTCTCAGCCAAATATCGGAGTCATAGGGTGGCAGGAAAAGTGATATGAACAACATATGTCAGGTAGAAAATACAATTGAGAACCAAACTGAATATAGAAGGTTCAGTGGGGAGTGAAAAAGCAAACTGATAACCAATATAGAAGGGAATCCCAAAGTCTATCAACATATAAAAAGACAAAGGATAGTAAAGGAAAGAGTAGGGCTAGTTAGAGAATTACACATGGAGACAGAGGGAAGAGCTGAAGTATTAAATCAATACCCTACATCTGTCATTACCAAAATGATACTACCCTGACCATGGTAAGAAAGGAGGCAAGTCAGATAGAAGGAGGATTTAAAATTGTTCAGGAGGTGGAAGCGGATAGACTATTTATGCACAAAAGTTGATCGGGCACTAGAACAAGATATGAGCCATTCAAGGATGCTGAGGAAAATTAGAGTGGAAATGGGAGAAGTACTGGCCATAATTCTTCATTCTTCCTTAAACCTGGAAGTGGTGTCAAAGCTCTGGAGAATTGCAAACATCACGATCTTTTGATTGACAAGGCAAGCACAACAACTACATGCCAGTCAGTTTAACTTCAGAGGTGGATGACATTCTGGAAACAATAGTTCAGGATCACGTGGATAAATGTTGTTGATTTAAAGAAAAGCGAATATGGATTTCTTAAGGAAAAATTGTATTTAACTAACTGTGTGGAAATTTTTTGATCAGGTAATGGAAGGTTTTCAAGGGCAATGCAGTTGATGTGTGTGTAGATTTTCCAAACGTGTTTAATACAATGCCACAGATGCACATGGGAACAAAGTTATTGTTCGTGGAATAAAAGGAACAGTAGCAACACAGGACACAGAATTGGTTGACATGAAACAGAAAGTAATGGTTAATGGTTTTATTTTGGTCTGAAGGAAAGTTTGTAGCAGAGTTCCCCAGAGTCAGTTTTGGGATCCTTTTTTCCTCCTCAAAAACATCAACGACTTAGGTCTTTATGAAAAAGGCACAATTGCAAAGTTTGCAGATAATACAAAACTTGGAAGGATTGTGAAATGTGAAGTGGAAGGCAGTGTAGACTATCAAAAAGATATTGACAAGTGGTGGAAAACATATACCAGTAGCAAATGAAGTTCAATGAAGGCATTAAATTGGTATTAATAAAATGGGAATACAATGACATCAAGGCAGTTCTAAATAACCTCTATGTACATGTGCACAAGTCATTGAAGGTGGCATGACAGGTTGAGCAAATACTTGATAAAGCATGGATTATCACAGGCTCTATTCATAGAGGCATGCTGCACAACAGCAAAAAGATAATGCTAAACCTCTATAGGACTCTGGTTCAGCTGTAGCTGGGGTACGTGTCCAGTTTTGAAAATGAACTATGTGAAAGCATAGGAGAGGCTGCGGAAAAAAATTACAAGAATGGCTCCACAGATGAGGAACTTCAATTATGAAGATAGATTGGAGAATTTGAGGCTGTTTTCTTAGTTGTAGAGTTATACAGCACTTTAGTCCAACTTGTCTTTGCTAACCGGATATCCTAAATTAATCTAGTCCCATTTGCCAGCATTTGGCCCATATCCCTCTAAATGCTTCCTATCCATGTACCCAAACAGATGCCTTTTAAATGTTGTGGAGGTGCTGGTGTTGGACTGGAGTGGACAAAGTCAGAAGTCACACAACACCAGGTTATGGTCCAACAGTTTTATTTGGAATCACACAAGCTTTTGGAGCGCAGCCTATTTGTCAGGTGTAGTGAGAGAGCAGGGCACACAGACAGAGTTTATAAGCAGAGAGATTAAGGGCAGAAAGATTAAAAGATCACAACTGGTGAGAGTGGAGTGTCAGACGATCAGTCTCTGCAGGTGACCAACAGTGTTAGACGGTGTGCAAAATATTTATAAAGTCAATGTCAGTGCTGTGCTGTCATGACAGTCAGGCAGAGCTGTAAGAAAATACAAAAGGTGACATCTCAGATCAGACACTGAATTGTAGATGTGAGGCTTTGTTCAGAATCTGTCTCAGAGTTTTAACCTGGAATCAGGCTGATATTATTCCAAAAGCTAGAATTTTTAAGATGCCACACTGACTATGACTACAAATTGTATATTTTTTGAACAAAATAGAATGCATTGAAAATAAACAAACATCTTGGATGAAATGATTCACCCCCTAGATTTGTGTTCATGCGTGAGTGAGCATGTTTGTGTGCGCATGTGAGCGTGCCTGAGAGTGTAACAAGTAATTCAAAACTGTACAAACTAATTAAGGTAGAGAGATCATAATTTATCAAGGTGAAGCTGTCAAGATGTCATCTGACATACCACCCACAGAGATTGTATGATTTTTTTGATCTCCTCACCTATAACCTCTGTCTGTGTACCCTGTTCTCCCACTGCACCTGAAGGGGCTGTGCTCCGAAAGCTTGTCAGATCCCAAATGAACCTGTAGGACTGGTGTTGTGTGACTTCTACTTTTTAAATGTTGTAATTATACTAGCCTCCACCACTTCCTTTGGGAGCTCATTCCATACACGCATCACATTCTGCATGAAAAATTTGTCCTGTAAGTCTCTTTTATATCTTTCTCCTCTCACCTTAAACCCACACCCTCTAGTTTGGTCTCCCCTACCCTGGGAAAAAGACTTTGGCAATTCACCCTATCCACCACCCTCAACTTGAGAAACCTCTAAGGCATCCCTCAACCTTCAACAATCCAGGGAAAATAGCCCCAGTCTATTCAGTCCCTCGCTCTCGTTCAAACCATCCAACCCCAGCAACATCCTTGTAAATCTTTTCTGCACCCTTTCAAGTTTAACAACATTTTTCCTATAACAGGGAGACCAGAAATGAATGCAGTATTCCACAAGTGGCCTAACCAATGCCCTATACAGCTGCAACATGACATCCCAACTTCATTACTCAATGCACTGATCAATAACAGCAAGTGTACCAAATGCCTTCTTCACTACCCTGTCTACCCGTGACTCCATCTTGAAGAAACTATGCATCTGCATCTCAAGGTCTCTTTGTTTGACAGCATTTCCCAGGACTCTATCATTAAGTGTATAAGTTCTGCCCTAATTTGCCTTACCAAAATGCAACATCTCACATTTATCTAAATTAAACTCCACCTGCCACTCCTCAGTCTCTGGCCCATTTGATCAAGGTCCCGTTGTACTGAGATAACATTCTTCACTGTCCACTACACCACCAAATTTGAAGTCATCTGCAAACTTACTAATCATCCTCCTTTATTCACATCCAAATCATTTATATAAAAGTGATGAAAAGCAGTGGACCCAGCACAAATCCTTGTGGCACACCGCTGGTCACAGGCCTCCAGTCTGTAAAAGCAGGACTCCAGCACCTTCCGTCTCCCAGCTTCGAGCCAGTTCTCTATTCAAACGGCTAGCTCCCTCTGTATTCTACGTGACCTAACCTTGCTAACCAGTCCACCGTGCGGAACCCTGTTGAATGCCTTACTGAAGGTCATATGGATCACATCCACCTCGCTGCCTTCATCAATCCTCTTCATTATTTCTTCAGAAAATCTTAATTAAGTTTGTGAGACAATTTCCCACGCACAAAGGCATGTTGACCATCCCTAATCAGTCCTTGCCTTTCCAAATACATGTAAATCCTGTCCCTCAGGATCCCTACCAACAACTTACCCACGACTGATGTCAGACTCACTGGTCTACAGTTCCCTGGCTTTTCCTTACCATCTTTTTTAAACAGTGGCACCACTTTAGCCACCCTTCAGTCTTCCAGCACCTCACACGTGGCTATCAATAATATCTCAGCAAGGGGCCCAGCAATAACTTCCCTAGCTTCCCACAAAGTTCTAGGATATACCTGATCAAGTCCTGAGGATTTATCCAGCTTTTTGCATTTTAATACATCCAGCACCTCCTCCTCCGTAATATGACACTTTAAGATATCATGATTTGTTTCTCCACGTTCTCTAGTTTCCATATCCTCTTCCACAGTAAATACTGAATGGGTATTTCGCATCAGTATTTTATCCACCTCCCACGGTTCCACACAGGAATTTGATGATGGGGCCCTAATCTCTGTCTAATTACTCTTTTGCCCTTAATGTATTTACAAAGAACAAAGCAGCACAGGAACAGGTCCTTTGGCCCTCCAAGCCTGCACTGACACATTTTGCCCTTCCATACTGAAACTGGCTTCACTTACAGGATCGTATCCCTCTATTCCCTTCCTATTCATGTATTTGTCCAGGTGCTTCGAGTGCTGCTATTGTGTCTGCTTCCACCACCTCATCTGGCAGCATGTTCCAAGAATTTACCACCCTTTGCCTCGCACATCTCAAATTCCCCCATCCCGTGCCTTCAACCTGTATCCCATAGTAATTGACCGCTCCACCCTGGGAAAAAGCCTCATACTTTCCACTCTATCCATGCCATTCACAATCTTTTAAACTTCTTTCAGGTCACCCCTTGACCTCCTACGTTCCAGTGAAAACAAACCCAGTCTAGCCAATCTTTCTTCTTAGTTAAAATCCCCTTTACCAGGCAACATCCTGGTAAACCTTTTCTGTACTCTCTCCAAAGCATCCACATCCTTCTGGTAGTTTGGCGACCAGAACTGTATGCAATATCCCAACTAAAGCTCTATGAAGCTGCAGCACAACTTGTCTATCCCTGTACTCCATCCCCCTTTCGATGAAGGCAAGCATGCCATAGGCCTTTTCTCACTACATTATCTATTTGTACTGCCACCTTCAGTGATCTATGGACCTGCACACCCAGATCTCTCTGCATATCAATAATCCTAAAGGTTCTGCCAATCACTGTATAATTTCTACTTGTACTTGACTTTCCAAAATGCATCACCTCACATTTGTCCAGATTAAACACCATCTGCCATTTTTCTGCCTATGCCTACAACTGATCATTATCCTGTAGTGTCCTCTGACAATCCTCCTCACTATCTGCAATTCCAATCTTTGGAACATCTGCAAACTTACTAATTAGACTATGCAGTTCCTACTATCTCTAATTAGACGATATATGTTTTCCTCCAAATCATTTATGTAGACCACAAACAGTAGTTCCTGCACTGATCCCTAGTCACTAGTTCCAATCCTCCATTCCAAAAATCATTTCTTCTACCGCCACCCTCTGTCTCCTATGACTAAACCAGTTCTGTATCCAAATCCATCTTGCCAGCTCACCCCTGATACAACATGACTTCACCTTTTGCACCAGTCTGCCATGACGGACCTTGTCAAAGGTTTTACTGAAGTCCATGTCAACAACATTAACCACTTTTCCGCAATCATCTTCATCACCCCCTCAAAAAACTCGACCAAGTTAGTGACGCATGACCTCCTCCGTACAAAGCCATGCTGCCTATCACTAATAACTCCATTTGCTTCTAAATGCATAGAGATCTTGTCCCTGAGAATCTTTTCCAATAATTTCCGTACCACTGACATGAGGCCTGTAATTTCCTGGATTATCCCGGCTGCCCTTCTTAAACAATGCGACATTAGCTATTCTCCAGTCCTCTGGGACATCAACTGTAGCATCTCTTTGGATTCTCTTTAACCCAAATTTGCAAAGCTAGCTCATGTCCCCTTTCTGCGCTCCTAATTTCTCTTGAGAATACTCCTACTGCACTTGTACTCTGAGGGATTCACATGATCCCAGCTGTCTATACCTGCCATATTCCTCCTCCTTTTTCTTGACCAGAGCCTCAATTTCTTCAGTCATCCAGCATTCACTACAGCCACCAGTCTTGCCTTTCATACTAATAGGAACATACTGCCTTTGGACTCATCTCATTTTTGAAGGCCTCGCACTTTCCAACTGTCCATTAACCTGCAAATTGCCTCTCCCAGTCAGCTTTTGAAGGTTCTTGACTAATACCATTAAAATTGGCTTTACTCCAGTTTGAAACTTTGATTTTTAGATCAGGTCTATCCTTTTCCATAACTATTTTAAATTTAATTGAATTATGATCACTAGCACCAAAGTGCTCTCCCACTGATACCTCAGTCAGTTTCCCAAGAAAAAGTCAAGTTTTGCTGCAAATCTAATAAGTACATCCAGAGTCATACAGCACGGAAACAGACCTTTCAGTCCAACCAGTCCATGTGCCGACCATAATCCCAAACTAAACTAGTCCCAACTGCCTGCTCCTGGACCATGTTCCTCCAAACCCTTCCTATTCATGTATCTATGCAAGTGTCTTTTAAACATTGTAATTGTACCATATACCACCACTTCCTCAGGAAGTTCATTCCACACACTAACCACCCTCTGTGTAAAAAAAATTTGCCTCATGTCTTTCTTAAATCTCTCTCCTCTCACCTTAAAAAATGTGTCCCCTAGTCTTGAATTCCCCTATCCTAGGGAAAAGACATCTACCGTTAACTCTATCTTATACTTGTCATTATCGTATAAACTTCTTTCAAGTTACCTCTCAACATCCTGCGCTCCACAGAAAAAAGTCCCAGCTTATCCAGCCTTTCTTTATAACTCAGACCTTCCATATCTGGCAACATCCTGGTAAATCTCTTCAGAATCCCCTCCAGCTTGATAGCATCCTTCCTATAACTGGGCAACTAGAACTGGACACAGTATCCCAGAAGAGGCCTCACCAATGTTCTGTACAACCTCAACATGGCTACCCAGCTTCTATACTCAAAAGGACTGAGCGATGAAGGCAAGTGTACCAAATGTCTTTATAACCACCCTGTCTATGTGTGACTAGGTCCCTCTGTTCTACAACACTACCCAAAGCCCTACCATTAATTGTATACACCCTACTCTTGTTTGTTGTACCAAAATGCAATACCTCGCATTTATCCAGATTGAACTCCATCAGCCATTTTTCAGCTCATCGACCCATTTGATCAAGATCCCTTTGTAATCTTAGAGAACCTTCTTTATGTCGACTATGCCATCAGTTTTGGTGTCATCCGCAAACTTACTAACCATGCCTTCTATATTCTCATCCAAATCATTTATATAAATGACAAAAGAAAACCCAGAACCGATCCCTGTAGAACATCACTTAACAGGCCGCCAGTCCAAAAAGCAACCCTCCAATACTCACCGTCTCCTGCTGTTAAGCCAATAACGTATCCAATTGGCAAGCTCACTGGGAATACCACATGACCTAACTTTACTAATTAGTCTACCATGCAGGCACACCGAATAAGAATAATTTCTTCTACGCACTTAAATTTCTCCCTTAACATCCATGCCCTTAACACCGTGGCAGTCCCCAACTATGTTTGGAGAGTTAAAATCCCCTACCATAACATCCCAATTTACTTACAGATATCTGAGATCTTCTTAGAAATTTGCTTCTCAATGTCCCACTGACTATGGGGGGGGGGGGGGGGGGGGGGGTTGCTATAGTAAAATCCCAATGAGGTGGTCATCCCTTTCTTATTTCTCAGTTCCACCCAAATAACTTCACTAGATATTCTTCCAGGAATATCCTAAGTACAGCCATAATTTTATCTCTAACCATATACACCATCCCCTTCCTCTCTTGCCCCATCCACCCCACACACCCCAGCCCTTTCTATCCCTTCTATAGTATCCATACCATGGAACATTAAGCTGCCAGTCCTGCCCTTCCCTGAGCCACGTTCATGTAATTTTTTGGCGATTGCACATACCATCGTGCACGTAATCCAGTCTTACTGCCCGGGAATCCCAATAAAAAATGGCAGATGTCATCTTAGGGCCCTCTTTTGGCGAAAACCTCAGAGTCCCCACAGTATGAAAACAGGCCATTCGGCCCATCGAGTAAACACCGGCCTCCGGAAGAGTATCCCACCCAGACCTAGACCCCTACCCAACCCCTGTAACCTAGTTACAATTCCCACAGTTAAGTCACCTATGCTGGACACTGTGGGCAATTTAGCATAGCTACTCCACCTAGCCTGCAAATTTTTGGACTTGGGTGGGGGAGGTAACGCATGCAGACACGACGAGAACATGCAAACTCCACAGACAGTCACCCGAGGCTGGATTCCTTAACGCTGTGAAGAAACAGTGCCAACCACTGAGCCACCGTGCTTAGTAACAAACACTTGCCCTTTATCTTAAAACTATACCGTCCTGTTTTTTGGGGCCCTCTAACACGGGCAACGTTCTATCTATCCTATCTGTACTCCTCATAACTTTGAACATTTGTAATGTGGTCACTGTCGTAAAGTTGGAAATAACAAAGGAAAACAAAACCGTAACTACAGAAAAATCTGTCAAATTATATGAATATAAATAATCTGTATTCCGTATTACAGACCATAAACACCCTGGAATATCTGACCGGCTGAGGTCATCTCAGCCTTCTGCTGTTTACAGACCTGAGAAATCTGGCTCATTTTAGCATCGTAATTCCCAAAAAAAAATACAAAATCACTCTATTGACGCGGTTATTGCCGGTTCTATGCTGTGCGATATACTCACTGCTCCACACAACAGCAGAAGGAACTGCAGCTCACCATCAGGTTGCTACAGCAAACATCGTAGCTCTGCCCCACGGGAAATATCAGGTGACCAAACTCAGTAATCGCACGAGAGGAAACTATAACCCCCATGATGCCAGGAAATTGCGCATGCGCCTTACGCAGCACGGGGCATTTTACAGTACTCATGCGCATTGTTCATACAGCGGGGCGAGGCGTTCATTGATACGCATGCGTGCACGGGCCATGAAGGTTTGACCGTGGGATTTCCTTAGTTGCATTGATGCGAGTCGTAAAACTGTCCTACTTCACAATCAATGTTTTCCGACATTGTAGATTTTATTCATTGACTTATTTATATTTTTCGACTCATTGAACGTATGGCCGGGAAAGTAAAATGGGTGACAGACATCGAAAAATCGGTGCTTGTGAATAATTTTGAGAAGAGGGGCTGGTGTCAGACTTCTACTGATGAAGACTGGAACTTCTACTGGTGAGTAAACACGGGTACTGCTTGCTGATTTTAGTTAAGTTGTCATTTATTTATTATTTTACCCAAGGGCTTATGAAGGAACCGTACTGTTAACCCAATGAGCGTGATGTAGGAGGTGCCTTTCACTGGACCCTTCAGTTGTTTCTGGTTGTTAACGTGGACACTAAATTAAATTATCTCCACTTTCACACACCCTCTATAACACCATGTCAGGTTTTCACTCCCCGGTCTTTATCATTCTCGTCCTGTGCACTACTTGTACCTCTCCTGATCGTTGCCTGTGGCTGTTGGCTTTGTTGACATTTCCCAGTTTTCTTTTTACTCCTTACAGGCTACGTTTCACAAGCATCTCTAGTAATAGACTTCTGTTGCATTCACACAAGATTAGCCCTGGCATAAAATCATTTTGGCTTTGTGCTAATGCAAAACCTATAGTGTAAATCAGATTTTAGGGTCTGGATGACTTTGAAACAATGCAGATAGCACAGAGGATAATTCATTTCATGGAACAAAATTCTAAATTCTACTGTACATCCAGATTATTGGCACACTGCCAAACTGATTTTTAAATGCAAAAATGTCAAAATAAAAAGGTTCCAAAAAGGAGTTATATTTGAAAGACCTTTTCTCCCAGAGAGTCTTCCTCTGGTCTCAGATCCGCAACTGGCCTACAAAATAAATATAAAGGCTGGCTTATTTTCCAGAGTTCCACCCATCTTGATAAACTCTTCCTATTTACACACCTTTCCAACAAAGAGTTTATGGAGTTAGCAAGAACTGTAGATGCTGGAGTCAGAGACAACAGAGACAAACATAAATGATTTTATGACATTGAGCTGGAAGAACACAGCAAGCCAGGCAGTATCAGGAGCAGGAAAACTGATGTTTCAGATGGGAACCCTTCTTTAGAAATGGGGAGGGAGGGAAGAAGGGCACTGGGAAATAAATAGAGACAGGAGGGGTGGGACTGGAGAAGGTAGGTGGGATGGTGATAGGTGAATGCAAGTAGGGAGTGGTGGGGATTCGTCAGTGGGATGGGTGGGGTGGATAGGTGGGAGAGAAGATGGACAGGTTGTGTCAGGTCAAGGAGGTGGGGATGAGAGGGATGGTTGGACATGGAATAAGGCTGGGGGTGAGGAGATTTTAAAACTGGTGAAATCTACAGAAGTAGACTCAGGGATTATTTCATAGAGCATCTGTGCTCTGTACGTGACAAATGACAACACCTTCCGGTTGCCAACCATTTTAACTCCCCCTCCCACTCCCTGGGTAACATGTCCATCTTGGGCCTCCTCCAGTGTCACAATGACACCACCTGTGAACTGGAGGAGCAACTCCTCATGTTTAGCCTCAGGGGCCTACAGCCCGATGGCCCTAACAGAGAATTCATCAGTTTTAAAATCTCCCCACCCCTGGCCTCAACCCATGTCCAACTCTCCCTCTCATTCCCACCTCCTTGACCTGACACAACCTGTCCATCTTCTCCCCACCTATCCGCCCTACCCTTCCCACTCCCTGCATCCAAGCTTTTGCCACCCCACCTACCTTTCCCCAGCCCCACCAATCCTCTCTCCTGCCTCCTTGACCTGACACAACCTGTCCATCTTCTCTCCCACCTATCCACCCCACCCATCCCACTGATCAATCTCCACCACTCCCTACCTGCATTCACCTATCGCCATCCCACCTACCTTACCCAGCCCCACTCTTCCTCTCTCTATTTATTTCCCAGCTCCCTTCATGCCTCCCCATTTCTGAAGAAGGGTCCCGACCCGAAATGTCAACTTTCCTGCTCCTCCGATGTGCCTGGCCTGCTATGTTCCTCCAGATTTGTTGTCAAAAAGTTTATGGAGATCTTTTTTGACTAAGAATGATACTTAATGTTTAGCTGCCTCTCCTGCTCTCTTTCTTTTTCTTACCCGCCAAATCAAATCTTCGCCCAAGCTCCACCTTCACTGGCCTTTAACATCTCTCCTTACACTTGCATACTTGTTCTCTCTTTCTCTCTTTCTCTCTTTCTCTCTTTCTCTCTTTCTCTCTTTCTCTCTTTCTCTCTTTCTCTCTTTTCTCACCTTCACCTTTCAGGATTCATGATATCCACCTGCTTTCATTCTCATCAAACTGCTAACCACCAAATTTTTCTTCCTGCCTCCCACACTAAAGTATTTCTGATTCATCTCACAATGAAAAACTTTTGCCCTATCTCTAAATGCCCTCCTCAAAGTCCTTTTAATGTCGTGTTGCCCACAATTTCTTTTTCCATGACTCTGTTTGAATCTTTCTAATTAAATTTCCATCTCTACCACAACACCCAAACATTGTAATAAAACTCATGCGTGTATCCTGACTTGCAACAAGTCCTGTTTGCTCATCGACCAATAAATTATGTAGGCTGTTTCTCAATTTTAAAAATAATTATCCTCATTATCAATCTTCTGCAAACTTGTCCCTTCTATCTTTGCAACCTCTTTCAACCCTATGAGCCTAAAATCTGTGACCTCGTCTCTTATAAATGTCCAGTTTTAATAGTTTTATGATTGGTGAGTATGTCTTCAGTTGTCTTGGTCTAAAATTCTGAAATTTCCACTTTAAATCACTCCTTTAA